ACACCCGTCTCAATGCAGCCCCACCCCTCGGCCTCCAGCACCTGCTCACCTTCCTCTCCTTCCTCCTTCAAGTGTCCCCGTGGCCAGCCAGTCACCTCTGATCACTAAACCACCAAGGCTTTGAGCCCCAACCGCCAGGACATAGAAATTTTCGTTACCAATCAAAGGCCCCACCAGGCTGGGGTAAAGAGCAAGCACAGCAGTAACTGGTTAGAACCCAGGTCCCCTGGCATTCAGAAGGGGTCTTCCTACCTTCCCACCTGACTGCTAAAACAGAGGTCACGATGCTGTTACAGATGTGGCCCCTGAATGGAAGGCCCTAAGCAAGGAGTCAGCCACAGGCAGCTCCAAAATTTGGAAAACAAGCACCATCTAGTGGACAGCCACCAAGTCAAAGAACCACAACTGGGAACAAAAGAGCTCATGGCTGGCGGACCCATTCTCCCCCCCCCCCCCCCCCCGTGGCTCCCCTGCTGAAAGGCATCCAGACGCGCACACGACAGAGTGAAGCACTTACCCCAGAGGAAGACAATAGCAGCTCGGGGTGGTTGGGCACCACGAAGATGCGGCTCACAAACCTACAGGGCAAAGAGAAGCAAAGGGGGAGCCGAGTTCCAGGGAGCTGCTGTGACGTCTGCTTAGGCCATCTGTCATCTCAGAGAGAAGCCTTCTCCCCCCAAACCCGACCCCCAACAAAAACTGCCATGGTTCCCACATGTAGCTAGACAGCACTGAGCAGACATGAGGAGCACACCGTGCCATTCTCCAGGCCCCAACAGCCATGACAACCCCCAAGCAGGAGCGGGCCCCAGCCACGCTACTGGAAAGATCCATGAACATCTGTGTTGCTCACTCCAGCTGCCCTGCTCACAGCCGAAGACCTTCACTGCAGGTCCGTGACAACAAGGAGCCTCGGGCAGAGACCTGCAGGACAGAGCAGGGGCGGAGGGCGAGCAGAAACACTGACTGGCGGACTGACTCAGACCTCCTGCCCTTTACCCCGGGGCAGTCCCACAGCCGCGGTCCCCAGAAGCCCGCCCGGGGTCCGCAGGCTATGAGCCAGCCTCTAGCCCTGCAAGGGGGGCAGCCGTCCCTGCTTCTCTCCCAATGATAACATGACCACTAGCACGTGGCTCCCGGGGATGCCCGTGACCGGCTGGCCCAAGCAGTCCCCTGACGCAGGACGGCCGTTACAGAGGCCGTGAGTCACCTCAATGACTCAAGAGGAAGGAGAGAAACCAGTTTCCACAGATTTTACACGAGATTCTTAAACACCTACTTTTACTCCTTATTCACTCACGGAATTACCTCCTGAGCACCTACTACCTGCCAGGTGGTGCTGAGGGCTGGCGACAGCACTGGGCACAGCCGCAAGGGCCCCCGTCCAGGGCGCGGGCAGGAGACGGGCCAGCGGAGGCCTAGAAGAGTGCCGCCCAACATAAACACAGTGCCGGCCACGCCGTTTACATTTGCAAGTGACCACGTTAAACAGACACAGATGAAAATAACTGACACTCTTCTTCCTTAACTTTATCCAGAATATTACTATCTAACACACAAGCTAAATGAAAAATTAGTAACAAGCTGTTTTTGTGGCTTTTTTTGTATGAAATCTTCAAAATCAGGTCTTGTACATGGCACCTCTCACTTCAGACTTCAGGACTCAGGACTCCTGTCTGGACAGTGCAGGCTAAGAGAAAAGGAGAGCAGGGCGGGACAAGGGGGGGCCTTCCTGAGAAGGCAGGTGGCATCTAGCCAGACACTGAAGAAGTGGAGGAGAGTACAGCATCCTGTGGGGAGAGCATGCCCATCAGTAAGAACAGCACGTGCAAAGGCCCTGAGACAGGAGTGTGCCGGGTGGGGGTGGGTGGGAACCAGGAGTCCCCAGTGAGAAACAGCGATGGAGAGAGGGCCACAGGGCTTACAGGTCATAAGTCTGGATGCTGGATTACTAGAGAGCTGAATCAAAGCCCCCATTAGCTGTCCAGAGCTACAAACTAGACCACCAGCGACCTTCAGAGATCACTTTACATTCCATTCAAAACCAAGGAAAGGAGCAATGTTAGAATTAAGTCTCTCCAGTATGTTCCACTGCCTCCAATAATGCACTGTTAAACATTTTAGCAAATGAAACGAAAGGCTTCTCCTCTCCTCTGTAATTAGCCTTGAGCCCAAGAAGCCCGAGAAGAGCAGTGTTCCTCAGAAATGCCTCCCTCGCAAAATATCAAAATTCAGTTACTGAAGGAGAGCTCACTTGCCAGAAAAAAGGTCATAAAGGAAGGACCACTGCCTAGGCTCGGAGGCAATATAAGTCCTGGATGTTCAAATAACCGAAGTATGTTCCCCCCGGCACTCACCCCCCTACCGGCCGCTAACCACTGTAGGCACTGACAGGGTCTACGCTGAGGAAGGAGTGTTCCGGAAACAAGCCCTCGCCCAGAGGCCAACACGGAAACCACTGGTGAGTGCTGACGGCGGGAGGCGGCGGGCTTAGAGGGAAGGCTTCTCACGCTGAGCCCTATGCTGGCTCCCGTGGGCAGCACCACCACCGTGTGTGGCGACCACGCCCTGGGGTGTCAGACCTCAGTGCCAACAAGAAAACCTCTCCCTGAAACCCACGGGAAGGGACGGGGAGGAGGAGGTGGAGGTCCTGACGGCCTGGGCAGAAGCCCGCACCGAATGGGGCCTCGCCAGGGAGCAAGCAGCCCGGGCTTCACCACCGGCTGCCCAAGCTGAGCGGCCCACCCGTCCCTCGAGCCTGAGCTTCCTCCTGGCAGGCAGGAAGGGGACTCACTCTGTGTGCCCGAGGCAGAAGGACTCGATGCTGTGCGGCGCCGCGGCCCAGCTGACCCGGATCTTCTCGTCCCGGTCGGCGGTGAGGACGTAGCGGTCGTCAGGACTCACGGCCTGCACACGGGGGTTAGAAAGGACAGACCTGCTGGGGGGGGGGGCCAGAGCTGGCCCGCCCCCCCCACCCCCCCAGGACCTGTCCCCAGGTCTACACGATGCCACAGCCTCGTCCAGACACCCGTCTCAATGCAGCCCCACCCCTCGGCCTCCAGCACCTGCTCACCTTCCTCTCCTTCCTCCTTCAAGTGTCCCCGTGGCCAGCCAGTCACGGAGTCCTCGGGGGCTGTCCTTCAAGAACCCCTCCCTTGTTATCCTGGCCTCTCTCGTCGGGTCCCACCCCAGCTCCACCTCCCACTGGCTGCCCCCAGCCCTCACCGGGCCTCTCGGGGGAAACAGCTCCTGGCTCAGGGGTTGGAAGGACACTGAGTGAGGCCCGTAAAGCACGAGGACAAGCTTAGGCCTTGAGATGGTGCCTGCCCTTCCCACACGCCTCCTCTACCTCGTCACCCAAACCCAGGCCGTCCCTTATTTCCAGAACCACCCCGCCACCTCCTAAGTGGCCCATGGACATTCACCGTCAGCCTCACCATCCTGAATTCCATGCTCACGAACTCCCGCTCACAGTTCTGCAGAGCTGTCCCTGCTACAGAACCCAAACCCCGACAGCTGGGCTCACAGCCCTGGCCTCACCTCCCCATCAGACCCCCTGCCCCTGCCCCCAGCTGACTGTAGCAGACTTAATTAGGTCCATCACCCACGTACCACATCCAACAACATCGACAGGTGCCCAAGCTCAAGCTTGCCGCATCCCTGTGGCTCCAGCACTGAAAAGGAATAAACGTCCCCAGACTTGTCGGCCACCAAAAGCTTCTCCTCTGAGGCCGTGAAGGTCAGGGCCGTGCACCTCCTCACCACGGTCCTGGAAGGCAAGAGACGCCCACCGTCGGCTTGCACAGGTCAGCATGAGATGGGCCGACAGACCTGCAGCCTGGCCCTTCTGCTGGTGTGTCAGCTCCACACCACCTGTCTCCCCTCCCAGTCACCAAAGGCCGTGCCAAAAACATAAAGCAATTAAGAGAACAGAAACAAAGCCAGTGCCTTAAACCAATTTTATTTTGGAATATAATATCTTTGCTTCTGTGACAGCAGAATCCGGGTGGTGGACATCTAGGTGTCCAGTATGACATCTTCTCAAATCTGTTGTGTGTTTGAAAACTGTCATGATAAAATGTTGGGAGAACTGCCTCTTGACCCCGGCACCTCTACTGGGCATTCTGGGGAAGAAAATGGTCAGCTTCGTAAACACCCAGTGTGCTCTGATCAGAACCAGAAGCACACTCACCACGTAGGGCCCTCCTACCCGGGCAGCTGCCCCCGTCCACGACCGCGGAGTCCACGCCCCACCCTGGGGGGCGGGGGGGGGGCCTGCCAAGCGGGAATCCCACGTGCTGCTCATGCACAACACCCCTGAGGATGGGGCGACACACCTGTCGGCAGGCGCGGCACTCGCCGTCCCTTCCCCTGGGACGACTCCGGAGGAGGCCGAGCCGCTGCGAACAGCACGCACTGCTGGGGACGTCCGCGTCCCAGCTCCGGCTGCCTGACAGTTACCACCCTCCTGAATTCAAACCCTCGGTCCAGATTCACAAGATCTGCCACATCTGCTGGTGGGCTCCATACCACGCCAGCCTAAGAAACAGTTACAGCTCCCGCCACACACACACCTACTCCTCCGGGGTCTCACTACTGGCGGGGAGCAGGGCCCACGCAGCTTCCCGCCGCTGGTGCTCTCACGGTTCACCTCCTTGCTACCGGCATCTCTACAGCAGAACATGCTTTCCGCAAGGCAAGACCCTGCACTTTTCACCCCACGCTAGATACCAGGCGTGACCCTGCTTCACACACGAACCCCAGGCTTGTCTGCGTTACCTAACTCTGTGGCTCTCCTCGCCCTCCTCTGTCACCAGAGAGGGCAGAAAGCGACTCACTTTCCAACAAGAGCCAGTGTCTGTGCACACGGCGCCCGGCCCCCTACAGCTGGGGCCCCCCACGTCACAGTAAACAGAACCTGGAGCTTGAAGAAGCCACATCTCCAACACGAGGACCGCACAAAGACCTCCCGGGTTCTCGGGAGCAGAGGGGCTGAGGGCCGGCAGCCGCGTCCCAGGACGCTGCCGCCCACAGCGGCTGAAGCTCCTCCTGCGCATACCTGAGCCGGTGACAGTGGACAGGACGACAAAGAGGGACATAAGCATGGAGAACACAACAGAAGAGCGAGCACGGGGCTGCAGGCAAGACTAGCCCACTCTCCGAGCACGCGGTCCCTGAAACGCCACCATGTGTTCAGATGGGCCCTCACACGCCACGTGGCCACCAGTCCAGACAGTGGCCTGGGCCAGTCCCGCAGGAGTATCGGGCGTGGACTCACACGGGCACCCACCACTGCCCCCCCAACCCCCCAGCCCCAGCCCAGTCCAGAATCTTGTCCCTTTGTCTTCTGCCAGTGGGGGAACTTTAATCTTCTCGGGCCAAGTTAGTCCTGGCAAGGATTCTAGGACGCTGCCTGGCTGAACAGAGCAGGTGGGGGTGAGGGTCTGAGGGGTCAGTTCACAGACGTGGGCGGGCAGGTCATGAGACCGGACAGTAGGTGGGCTGGCCACTTTGCCCCAGCAGACGGCGTGGGCCTCACCATTCTTCGGGATCTGCACTCCCCTGTCCCCCCAGAGTCACGGGGTTCACAGCCCAGCGTTCCCATCCTCATGCCTCCCAGGGCCAGCCTGACCCTCTCCCCTCTGCCACCGCCAAGCAGAGCACTGCTGGTCAGGTAGCTGAACCCTAAAATCCCGCACCCAAGCCCCCCTCCAACGAGCCACACTTGTTCAACAAACTCCGTGTGTAGGGGCCTATGGGCCACCAGGCCCTGCAGAGCACCGAGGATAACAAGCTCCCCGACACCACACACCTCCAGCAGCCAGGCAGCTTTGGGCAGAACAATCTCATTTCCTGGGGCTCTGCCTTTCCACATACTTGTATTATTTCAATACAGGCATTTTCTGAACTGGTGTGATTTCCTATGTAAGATTTCTCACTAATAAACGCACGCATCACAAGAGAAAATATCATGTCACCCCAAGTGTCCTACTTTTAGTTCAGAAAACCTAGCCTTGGTTCTGGGCCTTTGTCACTGTAAACTGAAACCTTGAAACCAATCATTGCTATGCACTATTTCCATCTGGGCTATTCCTTAAAACCCTCCGTGACGAAGCATTAAAGCCACTGGAGAGCTCCGAGCTGCGAGCAACTCCTGGTCAAATGTGGATATCGGGAGCCCAGGACACCCCCACACTGAACGGAATGTCAGATGCGTGGAGGACGGGTGTTTTTCTGAGGAAGGGGTCCATCTGTCTGTGCCTCCCGCCAAGTGTTAAAGGCCACTGGACCAGGCAGCAGCGCATCTTACGTTGAGGTCAGCATACATCCACAGGACAAGGCAACATGAGAAAGGCAGCCCCTAGACCTGTGACGTGATCTGGCCCAACCCCTTCATTCAGTGGCTTAACACAGACGGGATGGGAGTTATCCAGGGTCCTGCAAGCAACATCTACACGCGCAACGTACCTCCCATAGGCAACACAAGGCCCTGCACACCTAACGCAGAGGTTTCCGACACAAAGCTATTCTGCTGGTATCAATGTAAAAACCAAGACGAAAAATACAATTAAACAGGGAAAAAAACGCAAGGGCCAGCCACTGTTTGCTAAAGTGTAACTGCCCACCCTGAGTGTTCCTAGATCTTACGTGAAGACAATCGCCAACACGCCACCTTCAAAAGACAAAACAAACAAAAACACAGCATCTTCCCCTCAAACACCCACAGACCACAATGCAGAAGGAACCAGACATATCCACACAGGACTCTGTGCCTGAACACCCATCCTGAGCCTTACACTCCAGAGGCCTTGCCCTGCATTCCCCGATAGCCTGACAGCCACAGTCTGACAGTCTAGAGAAGTCTAGATTCCTCCTTCCAGACCCTGCACAATGCCGGGAGCCCTCGGAGAACGGCCAGAGCCCCGCCAGGAGCCCTGCGCACTTGCCCTTCAGTCAAGGTGCAAGCTCCACCATAGGATGCAGGGGCCTGTTGGCAGGCTGTGTGGTGTCCCCTTGTCCCAAGTGCAGGATGAAGTGCTACCCCTAAGCGGGGTGCACATACCAATATTGACTGCCATCTGCAATTTGCCTTTTTACTCTTCTCTTAGAAAATAAGATGCAAGAGGAATCCAAAAAGCATAGGTCTCCCCGATACAGGGGTGAGCCAGCTACAAAGTGAAATCCTTAACCTTGGTTCTTGGGTAGTTAGACATTAACATTATAACCTGCACGTATTTCTCTCTCACTCTCGAGGGACAGTTAAGCTGTGCAGCCTCAGGGAGGCAAGGATGAGGGGAAGGCTGACTCTGCTCCACGTGGGTGTTTCCATCCCGGTCACAGACATCATAATTCCAGCCCTCACCCGCTTGAGGAAATAAAGAACTTACTATCAGGACACTGTCCGAGTAAGACAAATTTACACCTGCCCAGGGCCTGGTATCAGCATCACCCACCTCCTCTCCTAAGCCTGCTGATTTTCTTCATTTCCGCCAGCACGAGGCTGGAGGAACACTGGAAAGCAGGATGGCATAGTGGCCAAGGGCACTGACTCTGGAGCCAGAGTGACCAGGGGCAGGGGCCAGCTCTGCCCTCTGAGGTGACTGATAGGGATCAGCTTCCAGACTCCCACCAGGGATGTGGGTGAGAACAACGCCCCCGCCCCCTTACACAGGGTTGTTTCAAGGGTTTAGTCAGTTAACACACGTAAGGCACTGACAACAGTGCGTGGCACGTGGCTGAGACTACGTGTTAGTTGCTCGTTCACTACATCACTGTCACTGCTACGGGCATGCAAGTGTAAGCTGTGCGTTCAACATGGTAATTATTCAACGTTAGCATTTCATACCTGACACTCAGACATTGCCATGGTTTTGTACGGAAAAGAATCAGACGCTTACTGTCATCAGTTAAAGCAAAATAGCTGCCAGACTTGGAGAAGGTGGACGCCAGAATCGTGTCACTCCCCTTATCCACGGGTTGCCCGTCCTCCCTGAGAAAGAAAGCACAAGGACGATTAGGGATTGCCTGAGTCAACAAGGCTGCATTCCTCCAGGCTGGCCTTGTTCATTTATAACATGAGCAAAGACCGAGAATGGCATGAGGTTCATGTAGCCAGAATACAAACGCATATTAAGCAGACAAGGAGAGGTTCAAAACAGCTGTAATTTTTAAGGAATAAATCTAACTAAACAGAAAAATCTCTCAGCACACACACCAGAATCCAAAGAGCTGAGCCAGAAAGACCCTCAGAGATCACATGGCCCACTCCCTCACGGTGGGGGGGGGGAGGGGACATGAACAAATCGAAGACTAGAATCAAGGATTAAATCGTATTTTTTAAGATTTTTATTTATTTATCTGTCAGAGAGAGAGAGAGCACAAGCAGGGGGAGCAGTAGAGGGAGAGGGAGAAGCAGGCTCCTCACTGAGCAAGGAGCCCGATGTGGGACTCGATCCCAGGACCCCGGGATCATGACCTGAGCCGAAGGCAGACGCTCAACGACTGAGCCACCCAGGCGTCCCAAGGATTAAATCGTATTTAAAAAAAACTGAACCATGAGACCAATTCTACTAGAAAAAGGCACCATACAAAATTATCACACTCTGCTTTCCTTATCTTTCAATTAACTTCAACGCATTTAAAGTTACACTGCATTATTTCAAGATGCCCACAAGAGTTAGTTACTGACAGAAACTAGAATTATTCAGAAAAATCCTACTATTCTTAACGCCAAATTTAAAGTTAGTTCCACGTGTCTTTGCTGAGGTCCTGGTTCATCCACAGGACAGTATAAATAGAAACGAAGAATTCGGTGCAGAAGCAACTTACTCAATAACACAACAATTTACTTCTTAGGCTACCCTGCCCCACTTAGTCCAACCATGATCAGGCCTGAAGAGGCTGCCCCATCATCTCACCCTTTATTCTCTTGCAACTTCTTTTCTGCAGTGCTGCAATCATACGTGAAGAGGACGTCATCATCACTAAGGAAAAACAGAAAGATTTTAAAAGGCGCACTTCATGAATAAAAATGTGAGTTTTTTTTTCCTGGAGCACAAATATCCTCATACTCAATAAATTAAGGGTTTTATCCATGACAAGAAATTGTCTGGGTACAGTACTTCAAAGAAAGGGTAAGGAGCTTTAGTTGCCTAATCTTTTTAGATTTGCCATACACAACTGGCATGGTTCCATACCAGAAAATCTGTTAAGTAAAACAAACGAGAAAAACTCAACAGAAAGTAATACATAATCTTTTACTCCCAAGAAAATCAACGCAAGATGGTTATGTTAGAAGAAATTATGTTCTGATGTTTTTTGGTGAGGCTCCTGCATCCCAATTTAAAACTGCCACCATTTAAAAATGTCTCAACTACCCAAGAAAGCTCCCATGGCTGCCAAGCACCTGCCAGTACTGGAGTCAGACCCTAAGCTCTCTGCAGTTTATGCCCATCTTCTCCCTTCCAGTGCTTGGCAGAGACCAGATATCTTGTACAAACTCCTAGCCTTTGAAATAACTGCGCTCAGACTCTTTTCCCAAGGAACACTGTGGTGTTGGAATGAGTAGTTCCGAGTCAGAAACTTTGCCACCACCATTCTATTTCCTCAAGAGGCACACAGGAGAATCATATTTGAAAAAAAAAAAAAATGATGGGGGCACCTGGGTGGCTCGGTCGGTGAAGCATCTGCCTTCAGCTCAGGTCATGATCCCAGGGTCCTGGGATGGAGTCCTGAGTGGGGCTCTTTGCTCAGCAGCGAGTCTGCTTCTCCCTCTCCTCCCTGCTCATGCTCTCTCTCTCAAATAAATAAAAATGAATCTTAAAAAGATGATGGATTTATTACATTCGATCTGTATCAAGTGTAATATCAAGTCTAATAAACCCATGTCTCCCAGTGGCATGCGTTAGATACCATGAGCCTCTAAAAATAATCTGGAATATACCACGTTTGTGAGTAAATGTTTTGTGAAAACTAAATCTAACATTGAGTTGGATTTCTGAAACCCAGCTTTGAGCAAAGAGCAGAGAGTGTATTTACATTTGACAGACACATGGTCCGTTTCAAGTATGAATCCAAACTACCCGGGAAAGGAGTAAGGGGCCGAAACTGACCATGGGACAAGACTATTCGATCAACACTTATTGTTAAAAATCCAGAGTGCTGTGTGAGAAAGAACATGAAACTGGGGAAAGCTAAAGCAGAACCCTGTGCAGGGGCACTGGGGGGTGGGGGGGGGGACTGTAAGACCTAGAGCGAGGCGAGGCAGGTGCCACGCCCGGAGAGGGAGTGCGCCCGGGACTCAGGCCCAACCCGTTCCCCGAGGGCAGGGGCCGCCTTCCTCCCCGCGCGAGAGAGCGGGGGTAGCCGCCGACCCAGAGACCGCGCGGTGGCCGGGGCCTGGCCCGCGTCTCCCCACGTGACCGTCCCGAAGCTCCCGGCACCCACCGGGCCGAGTACGCGGGACCCGCGGGCGCCGGGGTCGGGTCTTGAGAGAAGGCGCGGGCACGCGGCCCGGCCGAGGAGGAGAGGGCGGCGGCGGGGCGCGCCGGGGGGTCTCCGCAGGGCGGGCTCCGCCCTGGCGGCGCGAGAGAATCTGTTTCTCCAGGCCCCGACGCGCGCCCGCAGCCTGGGCTCCCCGCTGCAGGCCCAGACCCCTCACCTGCTCGCAGTGGAGGTGGCCAGGAACCGACTGCCGCCCCGCACCACCAGCGCCTGCCCGCACAGCGCCAGCCCCGCGGAACCCGCCATGCCCACGCCCGCCGCGCCTCCCACCACGTGCACCGCCGAGCCCCTCTTCCTGGCGGCGCCGCACGGTGACGTCGCGCGCAGGCGCCGCGAGGTGACGCCGCTCGGCCCGCCCCCACGGTGGCCGAGGCCCCGGACATGCGCAGAAGGTGCTTTGCGCCTTCGCCCTCTTGGTGACGTCTTCTCCGTAGGTGACCGGTTTAGTGCGGTGGGTATAGATGCCCACGTGGGAACGAATGCTGAGCATTGCTCTTTTCCTCCACACTGGGCAGGGCCGCTTCTGGATCTTTCTCCGCTGCAGCTGGGCGACGTGGTCCTGCTGGTACCTGCTGGGCTCTTAGTAAGCGTTTCTGCAAGAGGTGGGTGGGGTTGACCCTGCACCTGTCCGGGGTGGCTCAGAGCTCAGGCGCTGGAAGGGAGCCTCCGCAGCTTCCCCTCGGAGGTCCGCCCCAGGCGCCCCAAGTCTCTCCCACCCCCAGGGATAGCTCTTTGCCCCTGTTCTTTTGTTCATGGAGTTCGAACAAGATCACTTCTCAAGACACGCCGCCCACACACCCCATCCTGTTCATCTAGTCACTTAAATCCCTCTGCTGCACGCCCCCTTCTCTCCCATCTCCGTGGCCTCCGCCACCATCCAAACCACAGCAGTCCCGCAGCTTTGCTGATCCCCGCAGCTGCCCTTGTCCCCCACAGATCTGCTTGCCACACCGAAGCCAGAGAGATCTTTGCAAAACACAAATCTGATCATTGCATCCCCCTGCTTAAAACCAACAGGTGGCTTCTCGTTGCTTTCATGGCAAAGACCCAAGTCCTAATCATGCTCTAGCGAACTGCCTGTGGTCTGGCTCCCATCTACTCCGCAGCCTCTTTCCCCAGCAGGCCCTTTCATTCTCTGTGCTGTAGCCAGAACTGCCCTTCCATTCCCTGGCACAATGCGCTCACCCCAGGGCCTTAGCACATGCCATTCTTTCTGCCTGAAATGCTCTCCCTGGCACCCCATCTATTTATTGTAACTAGTTAATTCCAGTCATTCAATTTCATTACAGTGGCATCATCAGTCAGGGAAGCTTTCCCTGCCTTTCCATTGTTTGTATTCATGTTTATTTGTTTAATGTCTCTCCAGACTACAAATGCCTAATTTTGCAGCTCATGGTCATCCCACCTTGCAGCACAATACCTGGCAAGAAGTCAGTGCTCAATCAGTATTTGCTAAGTCCATGAATGGAACGGGTAACTGTCTTAAAGGAGCAGCTACTGTTACGGAAGAGTGAAGGAAATTTGGAGAATGTTAGCCCTGACCCCACCTCCTATATGACCTAAGGATGAGTTTATACCCAAAATCAAAGGCAGCTGCTGTATCCACAGAGGGGTTGCTGCTGGGCAGTACCACAGTGGAAGCAGGAGACTTCCCAAGGTTTCTGAAAATGAATCTGCGAACATCTCTATTAGACTAATCTAGCTGGCACAGTGGAAGTCCATCTGCGTGGTCTGGGATGTTTTTCAGGCATGCCAGTGAGTTTACAGTTTCTATCCTGGGCAGGATAGTAATACTAAGACCACAGAGATCCTAGGCAGGGGCCAGTCATCATTAGGCTCGTGAACAAATTCAACTTCCTTTACAGTCGTCATTTACATCTTAGAAAATACTCCATGACACACATTCTAACAGATAAAATTAACTATAATATACCTATTTGAACTGACCTTGAAGTTTGCCTTCGTGTTATAAGTTACAACCTAGAGAAGTAAGTACAATTTTTGAAAAACCGTGGAGACTGAATAACAGAGATTTAAGGGAACTCATGCATTATATCACAAGATGCGGAGCATGCATAAATGAAAACTTAAAGAATTGTGCTTGATCATCAGACGTAAACACAGCCTAGTCATTCTGATCTTTTTGAGGTGATGAGCCATGTGCCTCACACTCTGAATTCTTATAGGACTTGTGCCAACAAGATTTATTTGCCTAAAGATCTTTTTCTTAGCAAAGTCCAGGATAACCCAAGCCTTTTCTTTGTAATTTTAATCCAGTCTGAATTGAAATGGTGTTAAGCTTATTTTTATTTTCACAATTTTCCCTTTTGTGGCCCCTCTGGTGCTACTTCAGTTCATCTTGTGTGGGCTATCAGATGTTAACGCAGGTCCATGAACATGTTGTCTGAGGCCTCTTTACCCGTCATTACTCTCATATATATGTGTAAACTATTTCAGCATTAATATGATGTGTTGATATTTTACTATCTAATGTTCTTAGTATATTACCCCAAACCCACAACTCAAATTTCAGTTCTGTATAATTTGGGGTTTTTTTTAATTTGTTAATGTAGCTACTAAAGTTGTAACCAAGTTTTTACCTCTCTGAAATTTACAAAACGATGAGGGCATATTCATCGTTTACAGCTTGGATAAAATTGGAGAGCCCTTAGGTTTTGTCCCATGTCCCTTAGTGATTTTCTCAAAGGAGTCAGCTGTGTTGATAGTAGCTGTAGTTAGTAACTGTTTTAGTAACTGTATCCATTTTCTGTTGTCATAGTAATACATAATAAATACATAACAAATACTATATAACAAATTATGTAGCCTAAAACAGTAATAATTTACTTAGCTCACAATTCTGTGGGTTGGCCATTTGGGCTGGTCTTAGTTGGCTGTCTTTGCTCATGTGTCTGTGGCCTGCCACCTGGTTGGAAGAGAACTAGCCAGTCTAGGATGGCCTGGGACAACCTGTCTCCACTCCATGTCATCCTCCGGGAGGGTACTGGGGCTTACCTACATAGTAGGCACAGTCAGGAAAAAATCCACAGGCCTTGTGAGGTCCAAGTGTAGAACTAGTGTACTGTTGCTTCTGACACATCCTATTGGCCAACGCAAGACACAAGGGCAACAAGATCCAAAGGCGGGGAAAATAAACCCCCTCTTGGTGATAGGAGCATCCAAGTTGCATTACAAAGGGCCTGGGTAAAGGGAGGGGTGGAGAATTGAGGCCATTTTTGTGGTCAGATCTACTACAGTCCATCCTTTGGCCCCAATTATTCACATTTCTCCACCAAAAAAAAACCTCACTTCCTCCCAAGATCCCCGGAAGTCTCACCCAATCCCAGTACCAGGCTCAAAGCGCAGGGTCTCATAATCTATACTAGGTTGAATGCAGCTCCTCAGGTGCAGTTCCTCTTGATCCACAGATGGATAAACCAAAAATATCAATTATCTGCCCCCCACACAGCATACACTGGTCAAAGGGGAAAGGACCACCACAGGGAATACTTCCATTTGAAAAGGAAAAGAATGGGGGTCCCTGGGTGGCACAGTCAGTTAGGCGTCCAACTCTTGGTTTCGGCTCAGGTTGTGATCTCAGGGTGATAGGATCGAGCCCCGCGTCGGACTCCACACTCAGCATGGAGTCTGCTTGGGATTCTCTGTCCCTCTCCCTCTGCCCCTCCAGCCTGTGCACACACGTGCTCTCTCTCTAAAAAAAATAAATAGATCTTTAGAAGAAAAGAAAAAAGGAAGAATGGGTGCACAGAGCAATCACTGGTGCACAGCAATTCCTAAATCCATAGGGAGAATGTTCACAGGACCATAGGAAAAGAGAGTACTCCCTGATGAGGTTGAGTTCTGCCTGCTGGGAACATTCCCCAGGCTGTACCCCAGCACAACTCTTACCTCTGCCCTCCTGGAGATCCCTCCTTTTCCAGCAGCTCTTGCTCACTCTGAAAAATATGCCCTTTGAGCAACTCTTAAACTCTTACTGCCCTTAGCAAATTGGGAGCCCAGAGGCCTTTTTTCACTTTAAACTGTCCAGTCCCCTGAAGGTGGTACTTTGCCTAATGCAGTTCCCTTAAACACTTTGTGGGGATGTCAGCATCGTGGCTGAATAAGATACCCCTCGCCATGTCCCCCCACTCAACAGCAATTCAGCATCCATCCACAGACAGAGTGCCTTTCTGGGAACTGTGGGACCCAGCCCCACACACCAAGGAACCCAGGCAGAGTCTCGCCCACCCACATGTTCAGTAATAGGCACACAGACTTTGGTCCCAGCTGTGAAGCTTGCTGTGGCCTATGAAGTGGCTCCACCCCCTCTTGGCCATGGTCTGGGAACCCCTGGAAAACACCATCTTAGACAATCCCCCCCAAAAGGAAAGAGCTTTTGTGGGAGTCCAGGTTTCCAGCAGACAAATTCCAGCACATCATTAGAACAAAAAAAAAAAAATATGAGTTTGGGTGCATTGGAGAGGGTAGGAGGAACAGTGTGACTTTACCCATATCATCCCTCCCCCAGGGCCCTACAGCTTAGCGTCAAGAGAGAGCTCCTCAGCCCAGGATTTCTCCCGCAGGAGAAAGCGAGGCATGTGAGTGAGCACCTGACTTCCCCAGCTATGTGAGATGCTGCCAAAGATACCTGTGTCTCTCTAGCCTCTTACAGAGTATGTATGGGTCATGAGTACTGGGGGCAGGAAGAGCTAGGAGAGCAGCAAATAGAACTCTCAGGGGCAAAAAAGGAACCCCAACACTCCCATCAAAAAGCCTGCCCAGGGCGCCTGGATGGCTCAGTTGGTTAGGCGACTGCCTTTGGCTCAGGTCATGATCCTGGAGTCCCGGGATCGAGTCCCGCGTCGGGCTCCCTGCTCAGTGGGGAGTCTGCTTCTCCCTCTGACCCTCTTCCCTCTCGTGCTCTCTATCTCTCATTCTCTCTCTCTCAAAAAAAAAAAAAAAAAAAATCTAAAAAAAAAAAAAAAAGCCTGCCCATGAGCCACTAGGGACACCTTGCTCACAGATCCGCCAACTGGCCCACTGGCACCCCCAGCGCTCCATGCACCTCACCCCCACACACTCCCACACTGTGACCAGCTCCCTGTGTGCACTCCCAAAGGCAGTAAAAGTGAGTTTCGACAAACAGCTAGTGAGCACGCACAAATAATGGGCCCAAATCCGCGGGCCAGGGAGAGACCACCAGCTTGAGCGCCACCTCGGGGAAACAAAGGGGAGGCTATCAGCATTCAACCTAGTTAATTGTGGGGTGGAGAGAAGGCATA